ACGGCCGCCTCTGAGATGCCGAGGGGCCGGGGCTGGCTGCAGGCAGCGCGAGCGCTGCGACGCCACCCACGACGGACACGCGCTCCAGGCAGCTTCTGCTCGCGGACCGAGTCCCGCCCACACCCCCGCTCCGACTACGGCTGAGCCCAGTCAACCACCAAAGCGATGAGTACAGGAGGCTGAGGGGGGCTCCCCACGGCCGGTTTCCCAGAGAAACGCGACTGCTTCTCATCCGCTGAAGGAACGTAACGCCACCGGCGAGGCGCAGCTCCGCAGCGACTGCGTGACTCGCTGCTAGCACAAAGCTTTCGCAGCAGCACAGGAAGGCGAGGGGCTGGGCAGGGCGGCGGCCGCGAGGACTCACCCTATGTGTGTGACGGCCTCCCTGTTCTCGCACTCAGTAGTCCATATCGCTATCTTATCCCCTTTAGTTCTAACGTTGACCACCGCTCCACACACGTCGTCACTGTAGTCGTCGAAAGACTCTCCGATAAGGCACAGCAGCTGCAAAGCAACACCAGACGGGCCAGTCAGGCGGGGAGCCCCGGACGGCCCGCTCGACGGCCAGCGGCCGCCGGCAAGCTGCGCTAGCCGTGTCTCAAGTCTGCTCAGCGTGCAGCTCTCTGGCCGACCAGCAGGAACCCACCGGCTTCTCGACACCAGGAGCGCGGACGATGCTCAAGCGCTCAGCACGTGGGCAGACGAGCCAGGACCCAGGCTCAGGGGCGATTTACCTCACACCTGTGCTGCCACCCGTGGGACGGACACCGCTCGCGGGCGACCGAAGAGGCTGTCGTGGCGGATGACACGGGGGCGTTCTCCCCACGAACGCCCCGGCGCTACCAGTCACGGGGGTGTGCGGGCACAGACTCAGTGCTTGACCCTGTCCACGTGCAGCTCAGTGGCGCTGCCCCACCGCGCGGTCACTGTGCAAAGCCGAAGTGACCACCTGCTTAAAGGTGGACGTCTCCGGGGCACTCACTCATCGCCTCGCCCGCAGCATGGTGAAGCTCGAGGACCGGAACCCTCGCTACAGGAAGCGGTCACTTCCTCCCACTGACAACTCGTGCGCTAGGACCCCTTCCCGTGCCTGGCACACAGCACGCAGGCTGGATGACGTCCAGCCGCAGCTTCAGGCCTCGCCGACCTACAAGCCCAGTGTTCGCTCTATAAGCAACTCTCCGGGTGGGCCTGCAGTCTCCACACACCGAATGTGTTTCTCTGCCCCTGCCGCGACACGGCAAGACGAGAGCGGGGTGTACGGTGACCGCCGGGGGCCCGTGGCGCCGCGTGACCAGGCCTGCCCGTGACCACAGGGTCACCCGACACGAGCGTCACCACGGCCGACATCGGCAGGGTGGGCGGCCACACCGTCCCCCTCTTCACGTACTCAATGGAAAGAGCTGTGCTGTGAACTCAGCGCCCCCAGGCCGCCTCACGACTGCCAAGCCTTACTGTCTCTAGCCAAAAGCGATCGAGGTCACTTCGTCTCTGCTGCTTGTTCAGCGTGATCAGCCATCGTCCTCCGCGCTTGTTCTTCTCATCTTCCCACATGGGCTCAATGCCATCCTACAAGGTCACAGGGCACAGCAGGCACGCGGCGTTAACTCCAGCAGCGAACTGCCCCGGCCTCACCTGAGTCTCCACACGGCTGGCCCTGCCGGGCAGGGCGGAACTGCAGGATCACAGCATCTACAAACACCCACTGAGGCACGGAGTAGCGCCCAAGCCCGCATTCTGTGTGACTCAGACGTTCTCAGACATTCTGAGTAGCCGGCACTTTGGAGACACTAACACATCTGGCTAGAAACTACGCGCGCAGCCCTGGAATGGGAGGAGGTTCGAGAGTGCCCCCCGCCGCCAGGGTCGCGCTCTGGAGCGCCGAGAGGGACTGCGGTGCGCAGGAACCGGCCGCCCGGGCGGCCCGTCACAGTAGCTTCCCCACAGCGAGACGCGCAGCGGCCTCTGCGCCTCACACCAGCCCGGCGAGCCTAAGCTAACTACCCCCCGCACGTGTCCACGGGTGCGGCGAGCTTTCTCACGAACAGCCCCGTGGTTCGGCCACCACGTGAAGTCCCAAGGAGCTTACCTTGAAGAGCGAGTAGTCACAGCCAGGCATTAAATTACTGGACAGCTGGATGTGGTTGTACAGACTAGTCGGAGAAAGAGAGGCGGTTACAAAGCACGCGGAAGGCGGGGCTCAGGCTCCCGCACCTACTCGGATTCGCGCTCCCGATTCGGCGGCGCCGAGTCCACCTCGGACACGGACGGCCGTGCCGGCCGCAGCAAGGCCGGCACGTCGCGGTCCGGGAAAACACGGTCACTGTTGACCTAACGGCGCCTGTCGCCGCGTCAGCCGACGCAGTGGGCACGCGTGCACACGCCAGGCGGATGAAGGGGCTGGAGGTTAACGAGCAGTTTTAACACAAAAGAAGTCCGGAGGAAACGAGACCAGCCTGCTGACCCTCAGACGCGCCCACCCGGGCTCGGGCCTCGAGTGCCCGCGACTGCCAGGATCACTGCTGCCGGGCAATCGTGATGGCCACTGGGGAGCTTAAAGCCGAACGGGCAGCAGCTCCCCGCCCACCGCTGCGTTTCTCCCCGAGAGAACGGGCGGGGCCCTGGGCCCAGAGCGCTAAACCTGCTCCAAAATGTCGGCGCGAGGGTGTAACCGTCCCTGGACGACCGGGACACCCGGCTGCGGTGCGAGCTAGAGCCTCGGCCTCCGGCTCCCTGCAGCACAGCGACGGCGCTGGCAGAGGGCGAAGGCCGGGGGCTGGGCTACGCAGCCGGCTTCGTTGGTGCTACCTTTACGCCCTGGCCCGGGCGGGCCCCAGCAGAGCTGTGAGCACCCCGGGGGACAGGCCAGCTTCCCGGGAAGCCCAGAAGGCTGGCCGGGGCCCTCTCCCTGCAGGTACCGCCTGGACAGCGCCCAGCAACTCGGGAGCTCGAGCGCCCGGCACCGGCACAGCGGCGCCACGACACCCACGGCCGGTGTGCACGTGACCGGCTTCGCGGCCTTCACGGTAGAAGCGCCTGCGCCTTGGAGCCCTTCCGCCTCATGGTGCCCCAAGGCCGCTTCAGCGCGAAGCTTCTAGAAGCTTCTACGGGACCCGTCATAGCGCCTCTCCCCACACCCTGACACTACAGAGAGGACAGCGGAAGGACTCCACGGCCGTGTAGCACTAACTTGACGGCAGAGAAGTGAGCGTGAAGGTGACGAGGCGTGTGCAGACAGCCTGACAGAGGTCCTACCTGCACGTGCCGACGCCCTGGCTAAGCGGAGCGCGGTGCGGGGCCCCTCGCGGGCCCTGGGCCAGGCGGGCTAGCAAATGCACGTCTGACTCCGTGCAGAGCTGGCTCAAAAGCTTGCTCTCCTCCTCCCAGGAGGCCCGAAACTGAGGTCTGGGAAGACGTCAACAAGCAATTGCAGGAAAACGCAGCACTTGGACGAACACGGAGCCAGAAGACCCAGACCGGTCAGCCAGCCCCGCCACGGGGCTTCACACTGCTGCCAGCCTCTTCGTGGAGCTCCAGCTCCTGAGCAGGCTGCCGCTCGCAGCGTGCCGTCTGCTCTGCGCTGCAGGCTGAGGCGCCGAGCGCCGACAGCGCCAGCTCGGCCTCGGACTCCAGGGCCCGCGTCCCCGACCCCACGCGCGCGCCGGCCCGGGCCGCCAGACAGGGCCAGGCCGCCGCACAGCTTCTTGCAAACGACTTTGCTAGTTTTGCCTTTCGTGTTCGCAGCAGCTGCCCCTGCCCGAGGGATGAAGACACGCAGGCTGGCTGGTGTCGGGGCCGCGCCGACCTCGCGAAGAAAGGCTGCGCAAACTACAGTCGGGCCTTGCGGGCAGGAGAAAGACCTATGATCCCAAGCGCAAACATTCTGCCGACCTCAAATGTACCTCAGCCGTTCTTGGGGTTCACCCGAACCACAGCGCAGGCAGCGAGCTGCCCTAACAGAGGGAACCCTCCGGCGGGCCCTGAGGCTGCTGCCCGAGACCGCCAGCCCGGCACAGCAGACCCCGAGGCTCACTGGCACCGATCGGCAGACGGGCCACAGGCCTGCGCTCGCCTCGCCCCGGGCAGCAGAGTGGAGCGGACGGCTCAGCAGCTGCCAGGAAGCGCGAGGGCAAGAGGGTCTCGGCAGGAACGTCCCGCTCGGGCCACGCGTGACGCCCCCTCCACCCGACGGGGGAGCCGCCGCCGGCAGCGGTGGGGGACACAGGCGGTGCGTGGACAGGCGGGGCCCTCACCCCCCTCGATGCCCGACCGCGAGAAACACGCACGGGACGGACACCGGGTGGGTACTTACGCCCAGAAGTCTTCAACAGTGTCGAACTTCGAGATCAGCCGGAGGTTTGCTTGCCAAGTTTTGCTTTTGTCATTCTTAAAAAACCACAGAGCCCATCTACAAGAAAAAGCCAGCGTCAGCGGCCTTGCGCCCGTGTCCAGCAGCAGCGCACAGCCGTGGCGGGCGAAGCAGCTGGGGCCCCGGGGCCGGGGGAGCCCGGCCCGGCCGGGAGGCAGGTGCTGCGCCCGGAGCGGCCAGCAGAGCGAGACGGACAGCTCTGCGCAGGTGCCCCAGAAGAGGGCGCGCACGGCGTCCCCACCGCTCCACAAGCCAGGAGGGCGGACGTGGCCTGCAGCCCCGCGGGACCGGGCCTCGGCGCTGGCCGCTCGCCGCGCAGCAGCACTGAGCCGGAGCAACGCGGGGACAGGAACAGGCCTTCAGAGGAACAAAGACCTATTTGCCTGAGGGAGAAGGCGGTGCTGGGCGCGGGGCCCGAGGATGTCAGCCCCGAAGGGACACTGTCGAGACACCCCCGCGGTGGTCCTGATCCTTAGGGGTCTCTGAAACTGAACCGCAGCGTCCCCCAGAGAAGTCGCAGTGGCGCACGTGAAGACACAAAAACTGCTTCCAAGTGGCCACATAGGGTGACGCTGGGTGACATCTCTGTTGCTCCGGTGACGTCACCTCGACAGAGCGAGGCGCTGCGGCATCTACTCACCGTCGCGCTGGCCACCTCGGTCAGGGAAAAAACTATAGACGCAGGAAGCCGAGGCGGGACGGAAGCCGCCGGCCCGTGTCCAGGCGCCGCCCGTCCACCTGCACACCTGCGCCCCAGCTTGGAGCTGAAGGAGGCAAAGCTGCGCACACAGCAACGTCCGTCCACAACCGGCAAACCAGAGCTCGCCCTGGGGCCCGGGAGCCCCCCCAGCACCGGCCTCCGCCTGCCCTCGGAAGGGGAAGGCTCAGAGCCCCGCAGCGGCGGCCTCGGCCACGCCCGCTTTCCGCAAGGCCCGCTGCCCGCGGCCGCTCCCGCGCTGAGCTGCCAGGCGCGCTCTACGAGACGCTCTTCTTTCCTGGAGATGCGATGCGCACCCAAGGTTACTTCTTGAAAAATGAACAGAGGGCGCTCCACGGCACGCCTGCGTGAGAAGTGAGACGCGCCCCCACGCGCGGCCGCACGCCGGCCCTCAGACCGCCCGGGGAGCCCAGCGGTGTCGCCGCGCCGGCGCGGCCTGCTGCTGGTGGAGTGCAGTGTCGGGTGAGCCCCCGCCCGTGACCAGGCGGCGCCCCCGGCTTTCCGCTTTTCCGACCACAGCCGGCCACACAAGCGCAGCACGCGGCAGCTGCCTCCAGGCAGGGTCTCTCCACAGACCCGGCCCGGCCCGCCCCACCGCAGCTCCTCTGCCCTCCGGTGTCCCTGCAAGTCTCCTGCACCCCCTCACCTTTTTAAACGCCATTTTAAAAAGAGGTGTCTCGTTTGCACACGAAGTGGGCACAGGTGAGATGATCCCCAGACACAAAACGGGGCGCAGGCGGTCTGCTGCGCCCTGGGGCCCCTCCCTGCGGGGTGGCAGGGGCGGTGGCGGCCTGTCAGTGCTGCGCTCTCACCCTGCAGCACCGGGGAGGGCCACTCGCCCCGCGTTTTAAACAGAAAAGCAATGGTCAAGGAACTAGCCTTTGAAAGATGGGCTACTACTTCCTAAACGACCGGTCGTGGCGGGTAAAAGATCCCAGAGGACAAGTTCTCGGGTGACGCCAGATCACACGCTGCAGCCGAACTGGACGCTACCTCTCCCCAGCAAAGGGGCATGTCCACGATCGTCGTAAGAGGCCATGGACCGTGCTCCGGGGCTCCGAGGCTCAGGGCATTTAGTATCAGCCATCGCCGGCCCCTGCGGCCGAGTCCACCCCGGCCAGGGCGTGACCTCGAGCGCGCCAGGCTCCTGTCTCCTGCTGCCCCCTCAGCAGTGGCTCTTAAGGATCCCCTCACCCCCACACCTCTGGCCTGTACCCTAGTTCTGTGTGCATAAACACAATCTTTACAATACAACAGAACACCGAGACACTTCCTCACAGATCACACTGGGGCCACGCCAAGTGGCAGTGGCGGCAGAGACTGGTGACGGTGCCCGAGGAGACTGCAGAGACCAGAGCAGCTTGCAGCCAGCGGCCGCACGTGCCTGGTGGCTCCGGGGCACCCGCGCAGGGCCGTCCACTCGGGCAGCGGCTGAGGGA